ACCATTTCCATAAACCAATCAGAGAAATGACAGATGGGTAGAAGAAGGAAAGGAACCTGCAACGTCTTCCCACCAAGGTCAGGCTATTCCTTCTGAGTTGGTAACACGATGAAAAGACTCTTTGCTTCTCTTTTGTCTCTAGGCCTCACCCTACCTGTGTTCTTCGCTGTTCTCCTCCTGTGCCATCAAATCCTTTCTTTTTAAAAAAAATCTTCAAATTCTCCATGTTCATTAGTTCCTTCCCATTAGGCCTGCAAATATGATCACCTTTTCCTCAATAAAAATGTTCTCTTGGCTCTGTCTCCCATTAAGCTATCTATTTCTTTCCCTTAAGGAATTTTTTAAAATTTGTTTTTAAAAGATATTATATTGAAACAGATAAAATAATTGAAGGATGATATAATATAGGATTATATGCCAAAATGTTTACATTGTAAGTTCAGTCTGTAGTGAGAAATATATTAACATTTAGTCATCCAAGGATTGTATTTTAAGGAAAAATGTAATTCTGACACATTTATAGTTCTCCTAAGTATTGCAGATTTTGAGAGTCTGAAATTCTGTTTATTTGGGAATGAGGTTGAAGGAATTTTTACATTGGAAAGAGGTGTGATCTAGATGACTAGAATCTAAGCTTTTATGACCATATGGAGTCTTTTATAATTCTGTGATGTGGAAGCACAGGCTTACACTTTTCTTCATAGTCAAATAAAAGGCACCATATACTGGTGTTTTCCAAAAAGGGCCAATAAAAATCATGTAATTTTATGTCAGTTAACTCTGTCTCCAACAAAAATTTACTAGATTTTTCTTTCCTTATTGATGGAAAATATTTTTACATATAATATTGAGATGATTATATTGACTATCAGTAAAGTCTTTGGAAATAATATATTCAGTTCTGTCTTTTCATTATAGAATGTGTGCTGATACATCAGGCTGCTATATATGTAATATGATAGCTCCTCTACCCACCCCACCCCCATGCCAGAAAACTCAACAACCATACCACAAAACCACAAACAACCCTTGTTGAAAAAAGGGCCCTTTAGGTATTTTTTTTTTTGGTGTTGATGGTTTATTTGAAAAAAAAGAAATTACTCGTTAGGGTCTGGATGGTTTATAGAGCTCTCTCTTTGGCATGAAATTTAAATTCATGTGCATGTGTGTATTTACGGGAAGAATGGGGCCGTGTGCCAAGAGCGGCCAGCATTCCCGGCTTCAGACGCCTTAGGCTGGAGAGGGAACAGGGTGAGGAAGGGGGAATGTCTAGTAAAGCCAGAATTGTCACATGGCACACATTCCTCTTCTACCTCCTCACAGCTTTTTGCTTAGTTTTGTCCTCTGTTCTTCTCCTGGGACTTTCATTTGTGATCTGAGAGTTAATTAAACAGCTTGGAATTGAAAAACGCAAAAAAGGAAAACAGTAAAGCCTGATAACAAGCAAAGGCAGAATTATCTTGAAAATCTTGGTACTGGAGGAAATATATGCTTATACCAGTACATCTCATAAATATGGTGTTGTCTCTTCCTTTCGGGTTTAGGTTGCCCTGGGGATATGCCTGTGATGCAATAGTCTAACATGGAAAGGATAGAGAAAGAGTGGAAATATTCAATCCTTTTGTCTCTGGGTAGTATTTAAAAAAAATATATTTTTTATTGATTTTTTTTTAACAGAAAGAAAGGGAGAGAGATAGAGAGAAACATCAATGAGAGAGAAACATCGATCAGCTGCACACTCCCTACTGGGTATGTGCCCACAACCAAGGCACATGCCCTTGATCAGAATTGAACCTGGGACACTTAAGTCCACAGGCCAATGCTCTATCCACTGAGCCAAATTGGTTAGGGCTGGGTAGTATTTTTAAAAATATATACTTTATTGATTTTTTTACAGAGAGGGAGAGGGATAGAGAGCTAGAAACATCGACGAGAGAGAAACATTGACCAGCTGCCTCCTGCACAACCCCCACCAGGGATGTGCCCGCACCAATGTACATGCCCTTGACTGGAATTGAACCTTGGACTCTTCAGTTTGCAGACCGACACTCCATCCACTGAGCCAAACTGGTTTCAGCAGTATTTTCATTTGTAGGATCTTCTGGCGTGGTGTTTTACTATCAAATGTGGCTTGCTTGACTTGCCCAACACACCTTCTTTTTCCATTAAGTTTTCTTGAAGTTGTGGTTTCTGGATTCATGACACGTTTAGATTCTTCAGGCATCAGCCTCAGAAGTATGATCAGATAAGTATGATCTTTTCCCAGAGAAGATTCAGATTCCTTAATGCAATAGGGCCAGGGATTCTAGCCAGCAGGAAGGAGAAGATGGTGTCCTAGAAAGAACACTGGACTGGGAATTGAGAAACTTACATTTGACTGCCATCAAAACTAACTTGTAAATTTATGACCTCAGCTAAGATGTTGTCTGTAATGCAGCCTCACTCTCTGAAAGGTTGCATGTAAAGACCCTTTGAAAATGAACTGAGCCGAAACTGGTTTGGCTCAGTGGATAGAGCATCAGCCCGCAGACTGAAAGGTCCCAGGTTCAGTTTCAGTCAAGGGTATGTACCTTGGTTGCAGGTATATCCCCAGTAGGGGGTGTGCAGGAGGCAGCTGGTCCATGTTTCTAACTATCTCTCTCCCTTCCTCTCTGTAAAAGAAATCAATAAAATATATTTTTTTAAAATAAAGAAAATGAACTGAAAGGATCTTAGAGAGCATGTGACTGATTTTGATTTAGAGGCGGTTGGCACAGTGTATGTTCCCCTCAAAGATTTAAAGAAGAGCCGAAACCTGTTTGGCTCAATGGATAGAGCGTCGGCTTGGGGACTGAAAGGTCCCGGGTTTGATTCCGGTCAAGGGCATGTACCTTGGTTGTGGGCATATCTCCAGTAGGGGGTGTGCAAGAGGCAGCTGATCGATGACTCTCTCTCATCGATGTTTCTCTCTTTCTCTCTCCCTTCTCTCTGTACAAAATCAATAAAAATATATTTAAAAAAAAGATTTAAAGAAGAATCTGAGAATTCTGGAGCTGGAATGTCAAGGTGTCTTCTACTAATCCAGCCTCTGGGATCAACCAAAATAATATCCTGATTTTCCTTATTATGATCATTACATCATCTGAATAACAGACTTGGATGTTTTTCACAGCAATATTATGTTTAGGACAATGAGGAAGCTGAGTCAGAACTTGTTCTATCTCTCATCACTTGGAGCAAAGCTGCATGCTGAAATGTTATTTGTACGGGCTAGCCTAGTAATCAAAATGAGGGGGAGAGGCTGTCAGTGGGGTCACAGGGAGTGATGGGAACCATGGGGATTGTGGGGACTGGGAGCGCATACCCTGCATGCTTGGGGTGGCCCCTCTTAGGCTTTAAAATACCAAGAAAAAACTTCCCTCTCAGGGGCAAAGAGCTATGGTTGGCAGTGAACAGTGTCTTATTGAAAACAACAATTTTGTATTCTTAGCAACTGTACAATAGGGAATTCACCAATTTAAATAATAAAACAGAGTCATAGAAGACACACACAGCTGTTTTTCCCTGGGGAACATCCTGTGTGCAGTCCTCTTAGCAGGCCTTCCTCTTTGTGTACACTTTAGTCTTCTTTCATTCTCCTTAAATATGTTTCTTTCTTCAGAATTATTAATTCTTACAAGTTTTCTGTCCAGTGTCCTAATCTTTTTTAAAAGATCCTTTAATGGTGAAAGGTTAGCCTCCCCTGCCTCCCCCAGCAGAAGCACTTGTTTTGAATATACCTTAACTGTTTTTCCAGTATTTAATTTCACTCCCCACAAAGAACTTGACCATAGGTCTAACCCGAATCATCACCTGAAGTCTTCTTTCTTACGTTTCATTATTTGTAGGAGGAACAGTTCATTAGTGTTCTCCTGGTAATACCTTTCATATCCGTCAGTTGAAAATAGTTGTTTTTGCACTATTCTTTTTGGCACTACGAGCCTGGAAATTGTATCCATGGGTTTTGTTTTCCAGGGTTCTGATAATTACAGTGTAATTACCTTTCTCTGATCTCTCTCCAGTCTGTACACTAAAAAAAATAATATTTTGAATGGTACCCAGTCCTTTTATGGGCCGTTCAAACTGGTGAGATAAGAGCACTGTGTTAGTTCTTTGTCAGAGAGTAAGCGCCACACAACTGGATCAGACCCACTGTTCGCTGTGTGACCCCAGTATCTATTTCCTCCCTAAGGGGAGTCGGTTGCAGTCAGACTTTCTTCATATTTTACCCACACAATTCACTTCTCATTTGTAACTGTGCCCTACCTTGTTTTTGATGGATCATTTCTCTCTGATTTGTCAAGGTTACTTGGAATTCTACTATTTTTTTTCAGAAAATCTAGAAACCTTCACTTGGTTTGTAGCTACAAAATAAATCAAGAATGCTTTCAGTTGCATTATTAAAAAAAAAAATTCAGTAATATTAGGTCCAGGAATCTGGGTGCTGTTTCATAATTACCCAAGTTTCATTAAGCCACTTATTTCTGTCACTATTAGCTAATGGTTTCCCTGCTTCTGGGTGTTTTTAAACTCCACAGACATTGGCATCATTGTTTCTTGCTTGATGATAGCAACTAGATTTGAGTGATTTAGAACTGTAATCGAGGGGGTTGGTTGGCAGGCAGTAGTGGAGAGAAAAAACTTAGTAATTGCTTAATTTATGCATTTGTAGCTTTGGTAGATTCATTATAATTTTAGTAGCAAGGTGAGAGAAAAAAGGGAAGACTTTAGATTTAAGTAGAAATATCTGTTTTGTAGATGTTTTGTTCTGTGTTGGGTTTTGATTTAAATATAGTAGTCAGTGTCCTATTCAATATATGAACATAATGAGATGCATTTTTTGTTGTCATTACAGGTTTTGGAAGGTGACAATGAAATGTGAAGAAGTTACGTTTCTAATGTGATACTTGAAAGTTAGTGACTGCTTGCAAAATTTTGATGAAAATTAAATATGACTTAGAAGCATTGCTTTATGAAGGTTTATGATGTCATCGGTTGCAACTGAACGCAGACTCCAGCAGGCTGTGAGCCTGCAGGGAGTTGACCCAGAAACATGCATGATTGTATTTAAAAACCACTGGGCTCAGGTAATGTATGAGTTCTACCTTCTCTGCTGGACTAGAGCCTCCTTCACACTGACCCAGGGTTTCCTACCTGTGACAGGGTTCCTTCCAGAAACAGGGAGGAAAGCCCCTTCAGAAGGAGGAAAAGCAGCTTTCTCTTGTAGCTTTCCTAGACTAGGTATCTGTTAAAAAACCTTGGTTTTCAACACACAACCAATTAGGGCGCATGCATATTCCCCAGCAGTTGGCCTTCAAGTGAATCTGACCTCACTTCCAATATACTTGACCATGTCTACATCCTGTCTCTTCCCCTCCTCCCTGCTGATTTCCACCCAGACCTTAGACTCTGAAATGACAAAGCACACATTTATTAGATGTTTACCAAGTGCTGTGCTGATTACTTCAAATGCCTTATATCATGTAATCTTTTCCACAAACCCATAAGGCAGTTCAAATTAGCTTCCTCATTGAGGAAATGGAAAATTGTAGAGGTTAAGTAACTTGCGTGAGGTTATAAAACTAGTGGATTTTCAAACACGTACTTAGATTTTGGTTCCTTGACCTCTATATTCTACTCTTTTGGGCTGGTGGGCTGGTGTAATTTAAGGAAGACAGTGCCAGGTGTTATCTGAATTCATTACAAAGCCAATTATAAAAGTTTTTATTATTTTTTTATTATTCATTTTGACTTCTCTGTGACTCTTCTCTGATCTGCTTTCATGGATAATTAAGGGTTGAATGTTCAGCTCATCCTTTCCTCAGGGAGTTTACAAGTAGTAACATAAATAAAATTGGCATTCTTTACTACTTGTCCAACATTACACTCCCAGGTGAGCTGGTAAGTGGCTATTTATGTGACAGTTTTTTAATGACTACCCAGTTCTTTCCTGTACCCAGAAACAGCACACGGATTAAAGCACTGAGCTTGTAAATCACAGCAATTATGGGGGACACAGTTTAGATCAAAAACAAAATTAATTCTGCTTCTGGGTCACTTGTGCTTTGTAGCTTCTTGTCATTTTCCAGTGCAAAGCTTCCAAAATTTCTTATGCATTTCTCATTCTCTGACTTTTCACCATTAGAACCTTAATGGGTTTTCTCTGGATGTTAAGGGCACAGCTGCTTTAGCAAAGGGAAGAAAATAATTCAGGAGTCTTCCAGGTAATAGAATAATTAATACCTTTGGCTTTGTACTTTTGTTAGATTCCAAAGTGCTAGCTTCAAAGTGGGGTGATGAGCCCAAATGGATATGCCCAATAGGCTATTGCGTGTGGGAAGAATATTTTAGAAGGCCTAGTCCCATCTTTATCTTTTAAATTTTCTTATTTTGTGTTTATAATGTATGTAATATATTCATAAATTAGTATGTATATATCTATTAATCTAATTATTTGTCCTCGTATTTTTAACTTGTAAGACTGCACAGTCAGATGTTCCCTGTGGAGAAATTTTCAACCTCAGTCATTTCATTTGGCAGACGAAGACTGTCATTCTAATGTGCAGTCTTTGCCCTGGGCCCCATTTTGCTTATTTGTTTGTATATTTTACCTTTGCTTGTAATCACTCTTACCGGGGTATCTGTGATGTGATCCGTTCAGCATTCTGTTCCCCTCTTCAAAGACATATGTCACCAACCTCTTAATATTATGTAGATAGATCATTTGCCCTTTCAGATAGTGTCCTGGGCAAGTTTTCTCCAAAGCTGTGGGAGTGCTGTGAGAATGTCTTAATTCAGAAAGGTGTGAAAATGCTTTCCCATTGATGAAGGAGTAAATCCTGGTTCCGGAATCATATTATTCATGTCCCGTATGAATGACTTCAGCATTGGCAGACATTTTCGGTTATCTGAAGCATAGCCCCCTCTGTTTAGTGCAGAAAAACACTGAGCTGGGGGTAAATAAGGATAACTTTGTCAGAGAGAATGGTGTTTAGTTAGTAAACACTCCTTTTGTAAAGTGGGGATACTCTTGGTCTTATTGTTAACTTTGCTCAAGTTTCTTACCTCTTTAGTCTTGACTTTTCCTTTGTAATCAATCTGGAAAATGTCCTCAGCTTCTGTCTGCTTTCAAAGGCTCTGGAGGGCTTTCCTCTTACCTTTATCAATAAAAATGCTGGTTGCAGAAATTCACATGGATGTCAACGTGACTATTGCTGGCTGGGGTTTTGCTGAGTCCACACTTCAATGTACTACTACAGGCACCATGGGTGTGTGTGTGTGGGGGGGGGGGGGAAAGAATGTCAGGGGATAGGGATAGGAGACAGGAATGGATGAGCCTTGATCTGGGCTTTAAAGAATGTAGAAGTTAATGTGACATACATTGCTATAAAATGAATAATAATGATGCAGAGATTAAATCAAGGGAAAGGATTACAATAATGGGAATGGCCTGGGAAAGGGAGGCAGTGAGATTTTGCTAGCATGACTAAGGGAAAAGAAGGTCTTGATGTCAGAAAGGTTAAGGACACTTTAGAGAAGGGATATTGGAAACAAATGCTCAGCTTTGACTTTTCTTGAGTGGCAGAAAGGAATGAGGAAGTTAGGGCAAGGAAGAGATGTGGGACTGAGTGAGGTAAGGAATGAGACCTCCGGTTGTTAGGAATAAATGCCTTTTATTTATTGTTTTGGAGTTGCATATGTGGGTTGTTCAGGCCAGGGGTGGATGAAGAGCAGTTGCAGAGGATTGGGAAATGAGCTAAACTCTGACGTAAACTCCTGTGACTCCTGGGGCTGTAGCCCCTAGGTTTCCCCAAGGCAACCTGGAAGGCCGGTAAGAAATGTGGCAGAGATGGAGCTGAGTGATACGGTTTTATTTAGTGAAGTGTTCCATTAGCTGGCAAGTGCAGCACCTTTTTTTTATCCAGGGTGTTTCTGCTTGTTAGTGTGCAGATTCAGCATAATTAACATTGGATGGGTTCTATTCACTGTTCACTAATAGTTTGTTTTTCAGACCTTGAGTTTAAAAGCACATTTAGGAGGGAGGGGAAGGAAGGTCTGCTTGCCCACCTACAACTCACAGTGTGTCAGGGACAGCTAGTGATGTAACTAGCACCATCCAAGGCAGCTCATGATTGGGGGGGGGGGGGAGGAGGGGGCAGCGGCAAGTGTTTGCAGAGGAGAGTCCTTGAGTGGCCCAGCATTGCACTGCAGTTTCCAAACTGTTTCCTGGGTCCAGGGATCTCACGACATTCCCAGGTATGTTCCGTAGTGGGCATTCAGGAATAGTTGTATTCCTAATAGTGACCCTGGAGAATCCAGGCTGTAGGATGTAGTCTCTCGCCAGTAGTTCCTCTCACCCAAGATGCCATCTTGCATTGTAAGTTGCCAGAGCAGGGAATCTAAAACTCAAGTCTGTCTGGATCATTCCTTTAGTTGGAATGATTTAACTTCAGTGGCTTCCCAGTTACAGGCCAGGATGGCACATAGGGTTCATTATGTCCTGGCCTCTTTCATTCCTCATCTCTTACTGAGTCTCCAGAAATACAAAATTACTTGAAGTTCTTAGTCACTGCCCTCCTGGGCAGTGACATTGTGCTATTTCATGCCTCTCTGCCTTAGGCACTTCCTCTTCTTTCTGCCTGGATTATCCCTCCCCCTGGTTACATGCCTCTCCTACAGGTCTCTTGTGGGACATCATTTCCTCCAGGAAACCTTTCCGCCCTTTTGAATGCTCCCACTCTGTTCCAGTAGCACCTCGAGTGTTCTCTCAGGGTTAGACCAACCACCTTTCACTAACAGACATGCACAGAATCTTCTTCCCAACCTCGTGATCAAAGACCATTTGTTCACCTATATCTTCAGTGCCAACAATATGTTGTCATATTGTGGATTTCAACTTGCTGAACTGAAACACAGGAAACAGAAAATACAACTTTTAGAAGAGAAAGGTGACTTAGAAATAACTTTGAATATACACTAATATTCAAACACTTTATAATTTGCTACCAGTAAGATCTTTGGACTTGTATTTAATGATCAGTGATCTGGAAGAGTGTGTTATATTGTGTTGCGCGTGTGTGTGTGTGTTTAATTTTTATAGTAGTCTATAAGACTAGTTTATAGTTTAGTAGACTATTGTTTTTATCATTTGCCTTCGTTTCTTTGCTTTTGAATGGAAGAGAGAATAAGAAGTAAGCACTGGTCCATCAGATAGTAAACAATTGAACTATTCTGCCATATGAATCCCCCCCCCCCCCCACACACACACTAGATATTCTTAATGGCACAGTTGTACTTTGTGAAGCTTCATGGCTCATGCTGTACTCATTCTCTAACCTCCTTTTAAGGACTGAATCAATATTATTTATATACATAAAGGTGTCTGCTCTTAGAGCCGGGAGAACAGGGGTGGTAGGTTATCAAAAAATCAGTTATGCATGCACATTTCTTTGTGATTCTAGTTAGGCAATAGCCCAAAGCTTCTCAGGCCACTCTTGTCTGCAAAAATAAGCTGTTACACAATTTTTTTTTAAGTTAAGAAAATTCAGAGCTCAAATAGAGTAATGCTGACTGATGAAGAAAAGCTAGTCTGTTTAGCAGCCTTTTCCTTCTAAGGTGATGGTGGGAATAGGAAATACTGTAAAATCTAGATTAGTTAATTAAGTCAAATGTCTTCCCATAATGCTGTAATGAAAAAATAGATAATATGCTTTAAGTATAGTGTCTGTGTAGAGCTCCAAGTAGCCTGGCTCTACTGAAAATGTTTAGAGCACTCATCCGTGGACTTGAGATCTGCATTTCCGCCTGTTCCCTGGCAGTCATTCTCCTGCTCTGCTCATCTTCATTCCTTCGGTCTGTGCCTTGGTCAAAGAATCAATGATGGAGAGAAATTAAGTCTTCAAGAGATGAAAAGTTGGGCAGTATTAGAGAACTTTGATTAATCTTCATATCTTAGTTAGAATATTTAAAAAAAATTGTTAACCAACATCTGACCAGTACTTCTTCTCACCTGAGATATTTGTTAACATTTAAAAATTCTGTATATTTCTTCTTAGCTTTTTAAGTAGCTCTAAACTCGAACAAAAGCTATACTTCTTTTTTTTTATTTAAAATATATTTTATTGATTTTTCACAGAGAAGAAGAGAGAGGGATAGAGAGCTAGAAACGTCAATGAGAGAGAATCATCGACCAGCTGCCTCTTGCACACCCCCCACTGGGGATGTGCCCGCAACCAAGGTACATGCCCCTGACCAGAATCGAACCCGGGACCCTTCAGTCCGCAGACCGACGCTCTACCACTGAGCCAAACCGGTGCCGGCCAAAAGCTATACTTCTTTAGAGCAACGGTCACCAACCTTTCAGATCTCACAGACCACCAGTGGTTCATGGACCACCGGTTGGCCACCGCTGCTTTAGAGTCAAGGCATCCCTTTGTGCTTCTGTTAGCCTCTCAAGTGGTTACACATGTTGAAATGTCAGCAACTCTCCCATGGTGTGCTTGGCGATGTCTATTTTTTGCTGTGGTTGAAGTCACAGTGTTCTCTGAAGTATTATTACATAGATCACTACTCTTAAGTCCTTTCCCTAATACCTAAATGAAAAAAAAAAAAAAAGACAGTTAACTTAGCACTAGTTTATGATGTTTTAGTGACTGATGTCCCCCATGTTTCTGCATTGCAGTAATTACTGGACCATCTTTGGTCCCAAGGAGGGATGGCATGTAGCTCCTGTGTGATCCTGGTTTATACCAAATTTAAACAAGTCTCTGGAGTTCAGGACTGGTGACTTGTGCAAGAATACATGTTATTATTTTATGTTATCTTAATACAAAAAGAAATGACATAGTAAAGGTCTCCCACAGGAATAGGTATGCAAGGAATACCCTTGGCTGAAAGACCAGGTGTTAAGTTATGAACAAGGATTGGTTGGAAGCTAACTTTTGTTGTATTTATTTGGTATATTAAGTGGAATTTGCTTAACATTGCTAAATCTTGCCCTTCTTCTGTGTGATGGAAAATGTTGCTTAGTAACTTGTTTTTTTCCATGCTGCCACTTTTACATTCCAGAGGATTTGGAAGTATGGGTTGTATTCATGTGACTTTCTTAAAATAACTACGCTCCAACTAAAGTAGCATAAATAATTATTTATTGATTTATGCATGCATGTGTGTGTGTGTGTGTACATATATATGATATAGAACAATGTTAAGAAGGAGTCAAAGCTAATCTCCTGAGAGGGAAACATTATGTTTATTGTGAAGAATGATCATTTGTTATGTTGAGGTGTGATTATGTGGTTTATGTAGATCTTTCAATTCTGAAAGCATTTGAACTTTCTGTTTAGAACTTGTGAATATTTGAAATTTGGGCCCATTTTCATTGACTGATGGGGCCCATCATTACAGCTAAGGAGAGGAGTAGCTAATATTCCTTTATTAAAGAAATATGGCATTTGTTCATCTTATTTAGCCCTGATAATCCTAGGATATAAGATCAAATGACTTTGAAGTTAGGTTAAAATTTAGCTAGATTGGTTAGATGATAATTTGTATATCAGTTTAACACTGTTGATTTTTTTGTTTCTTTTTAGAGTTATGATAATTTACATGTGGAACTATATGTGATCTGGGCTTATAATTAGCAAACATGCATACCAGTTTGTATTTATTAAAGCTTGTAAATCAACGCATGTCTGGCAGTGCTCAGCAAAACATTTACAGTATAATTTCTGATCTCTGCTGGTTTACCCACTTAATGACCATGGACTTTATCAGGAGCTGATTCGTTTCTTAAATGATATTTGCAACCTAATGAAGTGAACGTGTTTAGTAAAAGAAATATTGGCAATGTATGTATATTTTGCTTGCTTTTGTTCTCTTCTCTACTTGGATCTCTCTAGCCCCCGAATTGAATCCCTAAGACTGAGAGTATCTATAGTTGAGAAGAAGCTGGGGCTGGGAAATCTGGGGCAAGATTGAGAGTATAGGAGAGAGGATATAATCAGAGAATGGGCAAGGCCTGTGGATGCTGCTGGGAGCAGTGTGGAATCGTGGATCCTAGACCTGGAAGGTCAGAGTCCATACATAGGTGAACATAGGCAGCAAAAATCAGGGACACAGGAAAATTGGAGTTTGGTGGGTACAAAGGAAAAAAATAGGAAAAAGTCTAGATCACATCAGGAACCAGTCTGCAGAAATTGAAAGAGTTATGACACCACCTGGGCAGCAGACTTGGAACATGAGAACTGAAGTTCTTTGGCATTTCAGTGCAAGCTGTGCTCTAGCCAAGAGCTTGTAAGGCATTCCCTGTTTGGACAGGAACCAGGCCCAGAGTGTGGGCACAAGAGCCCGCTTATAAAAGCAGGCCATGGGTGTGTCTGCCTGGAAGGGGAAGGGAGGTGGTCTGGGAGGGTCCTGGCACCTAAGAAGAGAGGTTAAGGACTTGTGGCAACACAGGCAGAATCAGCACTTTGCTGGGCATTGTGTATTCCATGACTCACAGGTCTCCGTTGTAACACACCCATCTTCCAGGCAGTAAAACCACCCCTGGGCTGGGAATGAATAAAGGGCTCTTAATGGTTCTGCTCCATTCCAGATGATCAACAAACCTTCTATCTCCATAGGTGTTTATAGCTCTGTTCTCATGTTTCTCTGCCCATTAACCCGGAAGGCAGTGGGAGCTACATTATAAAGATGCTCTGACTTAAAAGCTGCTAAATAGTTTGCATTTTATATAAAAAATCTCAGTTCACTTTTTAAAGATTTTTTTCATAGAAAAAAAAAGATTGCAAAGAAAGACATTGGAATAAACAATATTCAAGAGAAAAATGTAACATGATTATGTATATAGTTTTTGTGTTTATTACTTGTGTACATTTAGATATATAATATCTATATGTATGCATATAAGTACAAATACATATGCATAAATATATGTCGCTCAGGAATTTCTGAGGATGAGAAGATTTCCAATTCTTAATTGTTTTTAACTCATGTTTCAGTCCTTTTATAAAACAGATTAGTACAAAATTATTTTGTCTACTTTTTTTTTTTAAATACATTTTATTGATTTTTCACAGAGAGGAAGAGAGAGGGATAGAGAGTTAGAAACATCGATGAGAGAGAATCATCAATCAGTTGCCTCTTGCACACCCCCTACTGGGGATGTGCCCACAACCAAGGTACATGCCCTCAACCGGAATCGAACCCAGGACCTTTCAGTCCGCTGAGCCAAACCGGTTCCGGCTACTTTGTCTACTTTTATTTTTACTTATATAATGAAATTAGATCAATTTATAAGGAAGAATTTATGATCTTGACTATCTCATTTATATCTTTTCAGACTCACTTCTAATCAGACATCTTTGTCAAATATTTAGTTTTTAATTTAAATTATTTTATATATACACTTGCAGGTAATTATGTGATTAGTGTTCTAATAGCTTTTTTGTATGGTGAGGAAATATTTTGATTATAATTCTCCTCTTTTTGACCATTTGGGTAAGTAATATTTTTATTTTTCATTATTAAAAATATCACCAGTGTGAACATTTATTAACCAACTATTTTGGGGTTGTTTCTCTCAAAGTGAGATTAACAAGTCAAAGAGGAGGAACAATTTTAGTAGTTTTTGTAATATTGGCACATTATTTTCCAAAAGGACTGAGCTAATTTGCTGTGCCACTATCGATGTATAATGTCCCAATTTTATACTTCACATGAGAAGTGTAATTACATTTCTACCCCAAAGCCTGGCTGTATAGATAGCTCTCATACTTAAACTTAATATGTAGACTTTGAAATGATATAATAGAACTGATAAGGCAGGGCAGCTAATTTGTTCTTCAGAATGTGGAGCCATAAAGTTAGGTCTTTGGAGCTGGAGGCCATGCTGCGTTGATGTGGAGCCCTCTTTTGGACAAGTGTGGTACTGGGATCTCTGTCACCGAGGCCAGAGCAAAGGAAACAGCATTTTTGCCAGCGAAGTTATTAGCCTTTGAGGAATTTGGGGCAGCTTCTTGGATGTTAGGAAGGGTGGGGGCACTTTGGAGTCAGCATAGAGCGAAGGAGAGCATGTCCAGTGGGCACACTGGGGTCACCAGTCATTGAGCCACATACCTCCTGGGTGACTGCTAACCAAAGGCCTTTCTTATTGAAAATGTCAGCTCAGGGGTACTGGGATGATTCCTTCTTTTGTAACAGAATTGTTAATTTTATAATAGAAGTGGATAGAGTTGATAGATTTCTTAGAATTATCTTCATTTTGTAAGGGTATAACTTGACTGGTCTATAAAGGTTTCTTTGCCCTGTTCTGGACAGGGGGAAATTTAGAACTTCCCCTGAGAACTAAACTTCTGTCATTGCTCTCATGCATGCTGACATAGCATTGTACCATGGCCAGCTTCTCCAGTGACTTGCAAACACCCTGTAACCTAAATACAGAACATGTAACCTCATGTTACAGAGCTTGGCCAGGAGGGTATTATAGGCAGTTCAGACAGGCAAACCAGAATGAAAATGAAGCCATCAGTGTTTGGTTGTTTAAAAATTATCACGTGGATACATTTTAAAGGAAATGAATGAATATTATCATAAAAATCATAAAGTTACATGGGAGTTGAGATTTAAAAAATTGTTTAAATTTCCAGATCCCAAAGTATAAATCAATATTGATGGGCAGACAGAGGCAGGAAGCATTCAAAGGCTAGCTCAGAGATGCATGTGGCTTAATTTGCATAACCATACTACTTTCTTTGACAGGTTGCCCAAAGTAATAACTACTATAAATGAATATCTGCAAACATCTTCCTTCTGTTGTTTAACCTTTTCATTTTATTCTCATGAAAGAAAGAGGGAGGGAAGGAAGGGAGAAGGGAGGGAGAGAGAGAGAGAGGGAGAAATACAGTGCTCACATATAACTTGTGGGCCATGGCTCCCATATCTTCCGTGAAGATTTGGCACAATCAGTGCCCTATTTTTGTCGTTATGATAGACATCAGTTGGTTGACAAATGCTTGGTTTGGTTACAGGTTGTGAAGATCTTAGAGAAGCACGACCCCTTGAAGAACACCCAGGCAAAATACGGATCCATCCCTCCAGACGAGGCCAGTGCCGTGCAGAATTATGTAGAACACATGCTCTTCTTGCTGATTGAAGAACAAGCCAAGGATGCCGCCATGGGGCCGATTCTGGAATTCGTGGTCTCTGAGAACATTATGGAGAAACTCTTCCTTTGGAGCTTGAGGCGGGAGTTTACTGATGACACTAAGGTGGAGCAGCTAAAGATGTACGAGATGCTGGTCACCCAGTCGCACCAGCCTCTGCTGCACCACAAGCCTATTCTGAAGCCCCTGATGATGCTGCTGAGCTCTTGTTCAGGAACAGCCACCCCCGCCGTGGAGGGGAAACTGGTGGTCCTGCTCAACCAGCTCTGCTCCATCCTTGCCAAAGATCCGTCCATCCTGGAACTCTTCTTCCACACGAGTGAGGACCAAGGGGCGGCCAACTTCCTCATCTTCTCCCTCCTGATTCCCTTTATTCACCGAGAGGGCACTGTGGGCCAGCAGGCCCGGGACGCTCTGCTTTTCATCATGTCTCTCTCTGCCGAGAACAGCATGGTGGCGCATCACATCGTGGAGAACACCTACTTTTGTCCTGTAAGTCCCACCACCCTCCTTGCTTCTCACACAGTCCTCTTTCCTCTCTTGTGCGGGTGATACATACTCTATTATTTCTTTTCAGCAAGTTGTAGCTGGCACCTTCTTTGGGAAGATATTTATAGGATATTTTGGGAGGGACCAGGGCAATCCTAAATTGAGATGCCATTTGGTTAGCAGTGTCAGCTCAACATAAGGAACCTGCATGTGTAACCACGTCTTGGTTCACTTTTGTTGGGTTAGAAACTATTTTAGTTTTTCCTAAGAGCATGGCCTGAGCAATTGGTAAAACCTGCTCTTTCTGTATTTTTAGCTTCTTAGATTTATTGTGCACCAATGGATCATGGCATGTGGTGAGACCCCCTCAGAGCTGGTCTCACAAATTAATTTGTTTCTCAGAAAGATAATGACCATAATTGTGGATAAAAAGCACCGACTTTATTTTTTAAAATAAGTGCCTATTTGCAGTGGGAGGTAGCAAGAAATACTCTATTCTGTATAGTTCCTTAATCGTTGGTATGGTGAGAAGTAAAGTGGAAGGTCTCTTGCAGATGGTGGAGTAGCCCAAGACCAGTCCCAGTTCCAGAAAATAATGGGAGCTCTTAAGAAGTCTTAGGGCTCTGATCATTATTTGGCGCCAGTGTTGGCTTTGGAAGGAAGATTTAGAGGACAGATTTATATCTTCTTCTGGTTTGTCAGTTACGCTGGGCAACAGCTATTTTTATTTTCCCAACTCTGAACATTTCTGTTTTTTTTCCATTGTCTGTTTCTTTTTACCAGTTGCATCGTTGTATTTCTTTATAAACTACTAGTATAGTGCCTTGAATATGCCTGATTCTGCTGGAAGACTGCTTAAGGCCATTAGTAATTTTTTTTTTTTTTTTTGAACAGGCCAGGCAAGATGACATAAGTAGATTCGATTAATTGTTAATTAACACTATATGGGTAGTTCTTGAACAGGCATGAGGGCACATAGAGGGCTTTTATAAATGTATGGGGGGGTGTTTGATTGTGATAGGGGCATGTGGTGGCTGGGAGGAATTTAGTGTGAGGGATGCTGTACAGCAGTTTGTGGAATGGCCTTGTCCAGTAAAGAACTGACCTGCTCAAAATGCTAGTAGCAACCCTAGCGAGTAACATAATGTAATTTTGCTTTGAGGTTCAAAAGCAGTAATTTTCTTTATACTACTAAATTCCTATTTCTACTGACAAACCAGGGTCACCGCATCTCTGGTAAATATTTATTTCAGGCCAACGTAAGTAACATTTTTTGAAAAATAGAATTGCAGTTAAAAAATTGAGGATATGAAGTATCTCTTCCCTTTTGAATTCTGACCAATGGAATGAGAGATTGTACAAAGATTGATAGTCACATGGGACGTGAAGAACTGATTCATTCATCTGTGCCAATATATTAAGTTTCTCTTTCTTTGCACTCTCTGAAACAAAAAAGTTTATCTTCTACTACCATAACATTGGAGCTCATATCCAGCTCCTTTTTATTCTTATTTCTACCATCCTAGTTTTTAGACCCTAATGTGTCTCCCTACTTTCTTAGCATCTACCAAATTCACCATCTTACATTGTCAGATTATACTCCTAAGAGAATTCTGATTTTGCTGTTTTGTTACCTAAATTTCTTCAACAGCACTCCAAACTGGATATAACAATTGTGGCAAGCAGAATAATGCTCCCTCCTCCCACTTCAAAGCTGTCTACATCCTAATTATTGAACCTGGGCACTTGGCTAGTAAGAGAGATACAGTCAGAATTTGAACTTGGTTAGTATGACTCAAGAACCCATGTGTTTAATCACTACCTTGTATTTAAGTAATAAAATATCAAGACTTATATTTTTTGCACCAACCATAATTATAAAGCATCAACCATAAAGAAAAGACTGGAATTAAGAACAAAAAACACAGACTGGGAGAAGATATTTGCAACACATAAATACAAGTAATTGGTATCCAAAATATATACAAATATTTGTAGTGCTACACATTAATGAGAAAAAGTTAGAAAAATGGGCAAAAGATGTGAATGAATAATTCCCAGAAGACATTCAAAGCCCATAAACATATGAAAATATGTGCATCTTTCCCAGCATTGGAAATGCAAATCAGCTCACAAAGAGACATCAGATACTGCTCATCTGAGCAGTGAACTGTCGGACATCTGGTAACACCAAGTGTTGTCAAGGTGTGAAAAAACAGGAACTCTTGAGAATGTAAATTGGGACAATAAATCAGGAGAGCAATATGGCAATAGTTAATACACTTGAATATTTGTGTTCCATGTGACCCTAAACATCTTTTAGATACCCCCCTAGGGAAGTCTGGCACATGTTTGCAAGGATACATGCACAAAGATATTCAATAGAATACTGATTTGAGGAAGAGAAAAATAGAAATAAATTAAGGGAAAGATAAATAGACTGGCTTGTTCTAATCAGGGATGGGGAATCTTTTTTTTTTTTTCCCTGCCAATGGCCATTTGGATATTTATAAAATCATTCTCAGGTCATACAAAATTATAACTGAAAAATTAGCCTGCAGCCTGGCTGGTGGCTCAATGGTTGTAACTATATGTAACTATAATTACATCTGGTTCAATTCCCCGTCAAGGCACATGCCTAGGTTGTGGTATTGATCCCTAATTGGGGGTGTGCTGGAGGCAACTGATCAATGCTTCTCTCTCATCATTGATGTATCTCTCTCTCCCTCTCCCTTCCTTTCTGAAATCAATAAAAATATTTTTTAGCCCTGACCGGTTTGGCTCAGTAGATAGAGCATCGGCCTGCAGACTGAAGGGTCCCAGGTTCGATTCCAGTCAAGGGCATGTACCTTGGTTGTTGGGCACAAGCCCAGTGGGAGGTGTGCAGGAGGCAGCTGATCTTTGTTTCTCTCTCATCGATGTTTCTAACTCTCTATCTCTCTCCCTTCCTCTCTGTAAAAAATCAATAAAATATATTAATATATATATATATATATATTTTTTTTTTTTTAATTAGCCTGCTATATTTGGTCAAACATTTAATTAACTTAGGGTCAGACCAAATGATTTCATAGGCCTTATACTGCCAAAGCCTGGACACTGCACCCCTTTTCTATATAAATGGATATTCTATTTTCTATATAAATGGATACTCAGAATTCAAAATGAATAAATTGCATGTATAGTGTGTATGTAACTATATATGTGTGAGTACCTACAAGTCTAAAAACAAGTTAAGTAAAAATGCAAGTAGCAAAAGGTTACATATAGTATGTTTTAAGACATAAGGTATGCTTTTTTTTATATACATGTGAATATAGTAAAAGTACAAAAACAAGTACAGGAATATGTTCTCACTCAAGACTGTGGTTGCTTTTGGGGGTGAAGGAAGGAGAAGGGAGGGTAATGGGATTGGAAAAGGATTTAGCTCTATTTGTTAGGTTTTATTTTTTTATAAAAATAGAGTGCCCTGAAGAAATGACGTACAAACATTGAAATCTGTGAAATTTTGGGGTGGTTTCTATTTTGTTGTGTTCTGTATGTTTGTAACATTTCATACTTAAACATTTAAATTTATTAGGACTAGGATGGAGCATATTTTTAATGTCTAGATTTTCATTTACGTTGTAAGCAGATTTTACTGAGTGTTGCTTTTCTAAAAATGTGTTTTCAAACACTGTCGAATTCATTAAAGTTGGAGAAAAACAACATCTACAGATGACATTATTTCCTAGAATGGAACACAGAGCTGCTGCGTTGTGTTAAGTTGCACTAAGGATGAATCTCGTAATCTCATTTGTCCCCAGTTTTTTATAATTACATCTGACAACATAATTTTTAAAAAAGGGGGCCTCTGTATGTTGAATATAAAAGCATCCTCTAGTAACCACCCAGCTAAGAACCACAGTTGACAAAAAGCTTTCTCTAATTAGTATGATTGTCAAAGTGTGTTAGCATCAGGTGTGGGGAAGAGTAATGACTGTTTCCGGAAACTAGACTGTTGTTGGAAACTCCTGCTGTTGTCATTGATAGGAAGAGCTTGCTGGTTCCATTGCCTCGAATCTCACAATGTGCTTTTCCAAGAAAAGGAGGAGGATGAGAATGCTATAGGGAACAAATGATTGGGAACTCTATGACCCTGTCTTCCTTTGGTTTTTAAAAAACAAATATTAATGATTAAGCCCTTGTCACTTGTTACTGATTGGCAAAAGTAGAAAGCAGCCTGTACATAAATTCGGAAGGGCAAATTGAAATAAGCAACCTTTAGGTACCCAGCCGCAGGTAGAACATTATTTATCCCATATCTAAAATTTATGAGGTTTTTTATGTTGTCAAGGTGTATCAAATGGTCCCCGCCAGGTGTTCTGCTGCTAGCTTCAGACTAAAGCCATCTGCTAAATATCTTTTTGTTTTTGCTAAAATTAACTGGGTAGTGCTGAACATTTCATGTCAAAGATGGACCTTTCCTGGCTTGTTTTGTGCTCGGTGCACAGCACCTTTCTTCCCTTCAGTGGGAACATTGCTGTGTGTCAACCATGATGGTTACCTTTCACCTGTATTATTTTCTTTAATCTCCAGAGCAACTCAGTAAAGAAACTGAACCCTAGAATCCTAGAGGACTTAATCACTGCCTGTAAATGGCAGAGGCAGGTTCAACAGCTGCATTAATCTGATACTAAAATCCATGGTCTCAACCACTGTCATGCTTTCATGGAAGTGTTGCTGTTTATAAATGATCTGTTATTATCCTTATAGTTTTATATGGATTATTTTCTTTTAAGGAGACTTTTTTAAAATTAGGTTAAAAATGAAATTTAAAAATAAGTAGATGGTGCCATTAAACTCTTGGAAAAATGATCTACAAACCTGTTGCCTCTCCTTTTCCCTTGCCCCGTTCCCACAGCACCCTCTGATTCCCTTTGTGGAGCAGTTGTCTTTCTTGTATGTATTAGTTTATCGCCTTTCTCTTCCATCTCTCCTGAGCTGGCTTTTCTACTTCTTTCTCCAGCCATTGGGTCACAGTCAGTATTTTAGAAATACATGTAGATTGGGTGAATGGATCTGAACTCTGAGCAGTCTTAGAAAGGGGCTATAAATATTTTGCAGTAAAGATTTGGAATCTTGTTTTTAAGACTATGGAATACTAGTCCTGGCTGGTGTCGCTCAGTTGGTTGAGCATCATCCTGTGCACCAAGAGGTAGACAGTTCGATTGCCAGTCAGAGCACATGCCTTGGGTTCGGGTTCAAACAAGAGGCAGCTGATCTATGTTTCTCCCTCATCAATGTCTCTCTCTCTCTCTCTCTCTCTCTCTCTCTCTCTCTCTCTCTCTCTCTCTCTCTCTCTCTCTTTCTCTCTCTCCCCCTCTCCCTTGCTTTTTCTCTAAAAAAATCAATAAAAACCTATTTAAAAGAAATATGTGTTACTCTTTATTCTGCAGAATATTTTCTTCCATGTTTCTTTGCCTGAAGAATATAGCGGAGACATCTGCTTGCCCCACATATAGTGGCAAGAACGCGGTAGTTCTCTGTTCCCGTTGCCACACTGCACTCTATAGACAGGCTTCTGTTCCCATCTTAGCCACGCCTTTTCCAGGAATATGCTTTAAAAAAGTGAATATTAGGTATGTGTTATTTTTAATTACTGTCACTGATGTATGTAATTTGAAGATTAATGTTGCTGTAATTATATTGATATACTAAATAGTTATTCCCAGCTTTTTAGTCAGACAAATTAAGCCTCTCTTTATGAATTCATTTTCGAAGCCTCAAAGTGGTTAAGGTTTCGGGCATATGCAGAATTAAAGCCTTTGTTCTGTGGTTAATTTAGCATGAGTTAGCAAATGTAATTGATTTTTAAAATGTTGCACCAAGGTTAGATTTCCCTTCAAGGAGGACTTTTGGTCTCTGTTCTCTCTTGGTAGAGAATTCTAATTTATTATAGACAACTCATTTGGGTCACATTTAAAACTGGAGTTAAAGTGATTGGTTTGGGTGTGTAGATAAGGAGTTAAGTACTTTAAATAGGGGACAATCTCCTTTGGGATCACAGATGCTTTGATTACGAAAATGAAATAGATTCACCATCTTATTTACTGTTGTATTTCTGTACTTAGCCTAGTATCTGGCTTGAAGGTGCTTAGTAATTCTTTTCTAATGAACCAGTGAATGAATGAGTGAAAAAAGGGCACTAGATTAAAGGACAGAGAAACAGACATAATCTTTTGATTTCCCAAATATTGAAGTGGTTCACTTCTTTCTCTCACTGCCCTTCTTACTCCACTGTGGGCTCCCACTCCATGTGCCCCCCACCCCTCATTCATCATCAGGTTTTTCTGCGCTAAGACCTTCAGGTTCTCATTTCTCAAGCCAGGCCTGTACTCTGTTGTCCAACAGGGGGTGTTTCTAAGGAGAAGCACTGCTGGCCTCTGCTGCTCCACATACGTGCCTGCACAAATTATCCAGACCCCAGCTGTAAACTAGTAAATGCAAGACTGACAGGTGCTACACAGAGGATGCTGTAGGAACAGGACAGGGAAGAAGGAGAGGCAACAATGAGGTTGTAGATCATTTTTCCAGGTTCAACATACCTGGACTCCCACCACCTCCTCTGACTTTCTGATGTCAGGCACCATGGGTTTCTTTATCATCTGCCTCCACCTCCCTTCCCTTCTCCCTCTGGTCTGTATGGATGGTTCCAGATCTCTGTCTCTAGCCCAGACCCTTCTCTAAGCATCAATTCCATACAGCTTGGGCATCACTTCTTCTGAGACCATCCCCTGCTCCCCCACCCCAAGTCTGGATTAAGGGCTTTTTGTATATCCACAGCACCATGCATTTTCTATCATGTATTCTGAACAATTATTACACTTAAAATTTCTGACTCATCTCTTATTAGACTCTGAGATCAATGAAAACTTTGCTATTTCTTTTTTGGGCCTAAATTAGGGTTGAATGTTTTCTTGAATGTTTCTAGCTGACCTGAGTCCCTCATAACCTCAGGGTTTACCCTAAAGCAGTGGTCAGCAAACTGCAGCTTGCAAGCCATGGTTTGCTGCTCTGTTGACTAATAAGTATGCTGATCACTGCCCTAAAGGAACGCCTTTTACAGGTAATTTTTTACTTCTGTTCCATGCTATTCCTCTGCCTGATCAGGATCTCTGAGGTGCTGTTTGGAATCATCACTTCCCAGCTGGGAAGCTTCCCAACTGTGACAGCCATAGTTTCCCTCAGATTATGCTGCACAAGATAAAATCAACAGACATATAACACAAGTGGGTTCCTTGCCCACATTTCTGTCTCTGTTAAAGAGATCATTTTCTTTTTTCTTTTTCTTTTTTTTAAATACATTTTATTGATTTTTTACAGAGTGGAAGAGAGAGGGATAGAGAGTTAGAAATATTGATGAGAGAGAATCATCGATCAGCTGCCTCTTGCACACCCCCTACTGGGGATGTGCCCACAACCTAGGTACATGCCCTTGACCGGAATCGAACCTGGGACCTTTCAGTCCGCAGGCTGACCCTCTATCCATTGAGCTAAACTGGTTTCGGCGAGAGATCATTTTCTTAATGACCAAGCTGGATAAGTTAATAATTTGGAGTTCTCACTCATCCTCACTTACCAAGCCCAAACTGTCCTTTTAGGAACTTAGCATTGAGGGAGGAAGTACACCCCGTGAGCTTTGGATCAATACTGGATCGACAGATGTCATGGTTAGATCACCCTCACAACCACCTCACACATGAATCTCAAATTTATTTCCTCCTCTCATTTCTGACTCCCGATATTTTAGCTTAGCCCTACTGTAGCTGTGTTTGAACTATTGTCATCATGTCTGACTCATGGCCCCCAGTTCTTTCTTCTTGTTATCACTTATGAAGATCACATTAAAGTGCTTTTCAAACTGTAAATAGGCATTGACCTTTAACATGTTTGCAGGAATCTTTCTCTAAAGCCACTCGTGGTTCTTACCTGTGACATCTTCTGACCTGGGCTGCCATAGTCCAGGGCTTCCTCCCAGAGACTGGGTTTGTGCCTTCTCTGGATTTGCATGCAGCGCATGGTGCTGTAATGCTTGTTTATGAGTATGCCCCTTTCTTCAACAGCTTAGGGGCAGGAATCATTTTTCTTCATCTTTGCCTCTCCCTCACTCCCCCTACCCTTAGACCAGCATGTGCCTGGTACAGAAGAGACACGCCACCTGTATCTTCCATCTACAAATTAACCAAATACCCTGGGTGCTACTGTTCCTTCTATTGGAGTTGTCCTTCCCTGCTAATCTCCATCTGTCGAATTCTTTCTAGCTAGCAAAATACACTCTCATACTTTAATACCTTGCTACTTCAAGTGCAGTCTTTGGACCAGCAGCATTGACCTTCCCGGGGACCTGTCAGTTGCAGGTTAAAACTTTAGAAAAGAGCCTGGCTGGTATGGCTCAGTGTTTGAGCATAGAACCAGAAGGTTGCTGGTTTAATTCCTGGTCAGGGCATATGCCTGGGTTTTGTGCTCAGTGCCCATTAAGGGGCATGCAGAAGGCAGCCAATCAATGCTTCTCTCTCATTCATATTTCTATCTCTCCCTCTCCCTTCCTCTCTCTCTCAAAATGAATAAAAACATATTTTTAAAACTTTGGAAAGAGCTGATTACATTTTTACTTCTGAACACAGGTGCTTGCAACTGGGCTCAGTGGTCTCTACTCTTCCCTGCCTACAAAGCTGGAAGAGAAAGGCGAGGAGTGGCACTGCCTTCTGAAAGATGACTGGCTCCTACTCCCTTCTCTCGTCCAGTTCATGAACTCCCTGGAGTTTTGCAATGCCGTCATACAGGTACTGAGCGCAATGCAGGGACCCTTTGCTATGATCCAGTCAGAGTATAAGCATGGTAAAGGAGTAGTTTATAAATATTCCTTTTTTATTTTAATGTTTATGGAATGTTGATGCTTTACTTGAAGCATACTAAATGTTCTTGAATGAGTAAAACTGTTGGTTTATGGGTTTCTGGGAAGTTTTAATTGAGAAAAAGTAAGTAGATATTCTTTATCTTCCTCATAAAAATGTTAATTCTGTTTTGATTATCCACTTAACCATCAAAACTAAGTTCAATGCCTGACTCATTAAATATATATTTTTAGGCTTCTAAGTACTCCAAATTATACCACTTTTATTTCAAGGTCTTTTGGGGAGTCTACAAAGGAAAACACTTTGTTGTGCTTAATGGTGCATGCTACATAAAGAATATTGTTATCCCAATTGAGTTTAGAAGAACTTAAGCATCTTCTTAGCAACACAAATTAAATTTACTTTGAAATTGGTCTGCTTTTTTGGGGGAAACCGCCACTGAACTCTACTATTTTTCGCTTCTTGATTAGATTTTTACTTTCAGATTTTTTGTTACTGTTTTCAATAAAAATTAGATTTTATAAACATTTAAGGATGTAGTAGGTTTTCGTCAAAAATGTTTTATTTTTGTATACCATAAACATTACCTCAATATTGGATTTATTAAGAAATCAAATTTTCTTTATGGTGATTGTGAGGTGAAAATGTTAGTTATAATCTGTTTATCTACCAAATAAAGAAATAGCTTCTGGAAGGAAATGCAGTACATCACATTTGTTCCCATCTCATTTTTATTGCTAAGTCAAAGGAAGTTTTATTTATATATAAGATAAGTGGTTTATATCTTAAGTTATTTTTTCTTTAATATTATAGTCTGTCAACAGTTTCCTGCAGAAATATGTGGACATAAAAGAGATGAGACTGTTACTTTCTCCCCAAATGTACACACAGAGAGATTATTAGTAATTTAAAGATCTAGCCTCACTTCCCTATGAGGAAAGTATGTCTTTTAAGAAAGAGAATTAAAGCTAACAGGCATGCTTAAGAACCGAGAAGTGATATATTTCATTCTATATTTTGAGGCCATATACTTTTAAGATTTTTTGTTTGTTTGTTTGTTTGGGGGCGCTATTGTAAAGATTACTTGTAAAAGAGGCTAACCAAAGAACTTGTATGCATATATGCATAACCCATGGACACCGACAATAGTTGCAGTGAAGGCCTGGGAAGGTGGGGGTGGGGGTATGGTGTGGAGGGGTTAATGGGGCTATAGGGGGACATTTGTAATACTTTCAATAATAAAGATAAATTTAAAGATATTAGCAAGGGTTATCCATGCAAAATATATTTTGTAAATCAAATATAGGAAGACTTGTGCCCATGATAATCTTTTCTGCTTTTGAATAGGATCTATTTTTCAAAAAAAAAAAAAGAATATCTAAATGCCTTCCTTCTTAATAAAAAGAGTAGCAGAAAATGCACCTCTAAAATGAGAAATTCTTTTCTACCAGCAAAATAAATGTATTTAATTGTCCATTTTGACAGTTGTATTCTTTTTTTTTTTTTTTTAATTAGTCACAAATTGAGATGGGACTCAGATGAAATTATGGTGTAAAGTTATATTTCCTAGTTTGTGAATTTTATGATATGACTCTGTATACATCTTTAGTCTATTTTTCAAATGGAAATTTAAAACTATCAGCTTCTCTCTCTCTTTTTGTTTTGTTTGAAAGTCCAAACTATTTATACTGGAATAAACCATCTGAAAAAACTCCATGGTGGTTTCAAGTCTGAATTACTCTTTAATCATGAAATAAATGGCCAAAATTTGGATATCTATTTTGAATTTAGGATGTACACAGAAATATTTGATTTTTTAGAAGACCTAAAAATTGAATTCTTTGTAATTTTTATTACTACTTATTTCTCTTTTAGGTGGCTCACCCTTTGATTCGTAACCAGCTTGTAAATTATATTTACAATGGGTTCTTGGTACCAGTCTTGGCTCCTGCTCTCCACAAGGTCAGTGACTGGCTGATGTAATATTTTATCTGTTTGTAGTACAACTAATGGAAACTGAGAAAGGCCAACATGGTGTAACTGACTTGATGATGACTTCAGCCTTATTTCTCACACCATCTATATTCCTTAGCTATGTCAAACAGGTCTTAACAATGGTGACAGCTTAAGTCCAATGGGATCTATTTATTGTCGTGGATTATGGCATTTGGAATGTCAAGTAAGATAGTTTAAATCAGAATTGACAACTAGACTGACTCTTGTTCTTGCTGATGTCATGGATGGTGCCTACTTGGAATTCCTTGTTAAGCTGTCCTATAAGGCCACATCTGTCATAGGGGAAGCAAGGTTTACTATGGATATGGAGAGGGATGTGGGAGCAAAAGTCCCATGGATTTGCCATATCTCAGAACACCATTTTTTATTATAAAAATTTTGAGACAGCAAAAAAGTTAAAGTGAAGCCAAGTTAAGGTCTCATCAAAGGTTGGCTGTCTCATTAGCACCAGTCTGAATTCACTATGATGCTTTTATATTGTGTAATAAGTCAGCTTATTCCATTGTGAGCTATCAGGAGATACCCATGGACCTAGAATTCTAATTTTAAGTTCGTGCTTCGCTAAGTAAAGAAACATATACAATATTTAGTTCAAGAGGATCTTTGTCAAGTTATTGTAAGTGCCAGCCTTGGTCAGGAGAGACGCAAGGAACTACTTATCACATGCATTTGGATGGAATGCCCATCTTTCTACACCTGGAAGTTCCATTTCCATGGGCTCTCATTTTACACAATCCGAGATTCCCTGATTATGGCAACTTTGAAACCTGGTTGTATATGCTGATGGGAGCAGCAGGTCTTAGTGCCTTTTGAGCACAGCGGCAAAGTTTTCCAAACAGGCAGGGCATTTGCTCTGAATAGGACTTGTGTGTTACTTCTAGGCTCAAGAGGGACTCTTGGGTACAGTTTGAGATTGAGATTTCCAGTTTATTTTAGTTGTTTGTGGGCACAAAGGGCCCACGTCTTTAAAATGAAAAAAAAAATGCTTGTAAAATATGGAACATATCTTCAGAAAATACACCCCTATTTGTTTCCAGGTTGTCTTGCTGTTCGTGTCTTGCAGTTGTGGGGATGGGGTGGGTGTCTTGAAGTGGAAGTCTCCAAGCCTCTGCATGAAGGAACCAGTAGTGCTGGTGAAATCCTTGGCAGTAATGATCCATGTACTCCCCTGCACATTTGAACTTAGTTCCACATTTATTCCCATCCTTTCCCCCACTGACTGGTGGACCTAAAATAATTTCTTATCATTGCCATAAGAGCTATAATTATAAAAATATTATTTGTTCAGTATATTTTATGGTAGTATAATTAACATACCTTTAATGTTACAAATATTAATGTTAAATCTCTAACCATAATTGAGGATGAGATACACCTCAGAGAGCTGCCATGAAGCACTGACGGGTCACAGTGCTCCTCTTCATAGAATGCACCACAAGTGGGATTGAATCATTAAATGTGCAATAACTTTATGAATGCCTGTCTCCACATGGTGCACCTGCTTCTTGGGGTTTTGTGAACTTGCTTTGTTCACTGGGGTATCTCCAGTGCCAAGCACAGTACCTCAGATTTAGAGGTTGAACAAACAGCACACAAATGGAATGATGTTAGTCAGAGTGCCACGCAGAGTGTTTGTACTTGGTATATCTCCCAAGAGTGATTCATAGGGAATAATAATAGCATCTTACATATATTAACAAAGATTGTTCTCAGTAATTCCCATAATTAAATGAAAAATTTTAAATCATGAAGTTATTTTAAAAATATATATTTTATTGATTTTTCACAGAGAGGAAGAGAGAGGGATAGAGAGTTAGAAACATCGAACAGCTGCCTCTTATACACCCCCTACTGGGGACGTGCCTGAACCAAGGTACATATCCTTGACCGGAATTGAACCTGGGACCACCCAGTCTGCAGGCCGATGCTCTAGCCACTGAGCCAAACCGTTTTCGGCAAATCATGAAGTTATTTTAATGCATGCTTACTGTGAAAAAATACAGTCAATACTGAGTATACAAAATGCAAAGTGAATGTTACTGTATTAGGTTTCCAATCCCTAATTAAGATTCCTTAACGTTTATCCATTGCGGACCATTTCTCCAGGACTTTTAAGCTACTAGAAAGAATATTTCCTCCCTAATTTGGTTTTCATACCGCTCTTCATCTTTTTCTTTTTCTTTTCTTTTTTTTTTTTTTTTAATATATTTTATTGATTTTTAACAGAGAGAAAGGGAGAGAGACAGAGAGCTAGAAACGTCGATGAGAGAGAAACATCGACCAGTCGCCTCTTGCACACCCCCCCACCGAGGATGTGCCTGCAACCATGCCCCTGACCGGAATCGAACCTGGGACCTTTCAGTCCGCAGACCGACGCTCTACCACTGAGCCAAACCGGCTTCGGCATCTTTTTCTTTTGTTTGTGGTTAACAGCCTCTCCTCTGGCTCTTGGCTTCTGAAATGGTTGATGAAGAAAAGAGCTTTTATGAATGCCAGGACAGGGGCTAGAAACAGATGAGGAAAAATGTCCAGAATTGGGTGTTTCTTGAGAAGTTCCCTGAGGGAACAGTCCCATGCTGTGTCCTCTCCTTTGATGTGGGAGATATACTGGGCATATCAAGTTTACTGCAGGGCTCCTGTCCATGGTTTTCACCATCTGCGTCTCTTGCCTTGACAGAAGAGCCTTATTTAATACCCTAAGAAAATTTTCCTGTGAACTATCTCAGCCCCAATTTCTGCAAAACATTCTAGTTGCCTGCCATCAGCGTAGGCAGTCTGTAGAGGTGAATTTAGTCTCTCTCGCATAAGTAATATAAATAAATTCGTACTTAAAAACTTTACCACATCACAATCAATACTCATAAACAATGTCTCCACAGCATTGCTCAACGAGCTCTGAAGTCATTACAGAGGGCTGTGGGTGGGAAAAGGAAGGGAGGGGGGAAGTGGCAAGTGAAGATTGTCTCCACCTTTCCTCTTCCCCCTCTGAGTATGTTTATGGTCACACCTCCAGTGCAGGCTGCCCTGCTGTATGCTTTCTTCATGCAGTGCTGAGGGGCAGCCGTTTGTTATCCTGTGTTAGTATGAAGCTAGTTTATTTTTATTTTTAAATAGGGCTGCACAGATTTCTGTTGTGTGGATATACAGGTCTGCAATCCTTTATTCACAACTCAAAAATGCAAACATCTGTGAAAACGGAATTTTTAGAATAATTGGCTTTGATGGCAAACCCATACCTAAATTGTCTCAAGGCTGTTTTTAAAAAAATTCTCACTGAGTTAATATTTATGTGTGATATGGGAAGAAAAAAAATTGACGTATTTGATTGTAGAGTTCTGCTCCAGATATGCTGGGTTACATCAAATATGGCAGGTGTAATATTACTTTTCTAATATATGCAATTTCAAATTCCAAAATGCCTGGTCTCCAGGGTTTTGGATAAGAGATTGGAAGCCTATTTTGGACACTTAGGGAAGGATACATTTTTTGAGATAGGTTAAATCCCACTTTATAAAAATCACATTAAAGAAAATGATTCCATGTCAATGTAGATCATTTAGGAGTTGAATCTAACCATATCCAAGGACATCATGTAACATTATGACTTTAGATTAATGGAACAGCCCCATTCAGCAAGAGCTAGCTGTCTCTGTATGTTTAATTGATCAAAGCTAAGTTATCAAGGCTGAATGTTCATTGACATAGTTATATTAGTCTGTGTTCTCAGTGGAGTGGATGCCAAGATAGGTTCAAAGTGTAAGGATTTTGCTAGGGGAAATGCTGGTGAGAGAGAAAATAGGGAGCAAGGTGGGGGGGATTCTAGGGGAGTGGTTAGACTGCAATACAATCTGACCCCAAGTGAAGGAGAGGGTGTGAGATGAATGGGAGTGTTGCAGGCTGTCAGGCCTGTGTTTCCCAAGGAGAGGTCTGCCAAGCATCCCCACTGCACTGCCATTGGCTCTGAGGAGCCTGTGGGAGGTGTGGGAGGATTTCAGTGTAGCCATGGGGCCCTTGGCCACTTAAGCTCCCTGTAGTTAGAGGTCCAGGTGGTGAATTCCCATGGCCACTGTGTTTCCACTTGGCTGATTTCCGTGGTGTTCCTGATTGTAGCTATAAAAAAGATTGACATATATATTTGCTTAATTACAGACCTTTTGTGTGTGTATGTGTGCAAAACATTCCAGAGTTCAAATGCTGTCTCATGCACAGGGTCGTTTTGGTAAGGATTAGCTTGAGAAAATAACTTACTAATCAGTCACCATGATTATGCTTCAGTCACAAACAACACCAACGTCTCTTTATGTTTTTGTTGGCATGACATGTATGTTTTGGGGTGTGGACATGTCAGCAGCTTGTTGATAGCTAGATCTTAAACATCTGATATATCTTGTCATAATGTCAGAGGGGAGAGGCCATAGTGAAAATAGGGAGCAAGGTGGGGGGGGGATTCTGGGGGAGTGGTTAGACTGCAATACAATCTGACCCCAAGTCTGACCGCTGGCTTTTGAAGCTCCTGTCTGGAAGTGACACATATCACTTCTGTCCTCATTTCATTCTCCAAAGCAAAGAAAATCACATCTGACCTCAGAGGGCAGTGCAGTTTCATTTTCTCAAAAAGAAGAGAAGTCTAGAATGTGATCATCAGCCCTAATGACTTTTGTCAGTTGGCACCCACTGGGTAGTGAGGAGAGTCTGCAGGAATATGATGTTTCAATGATCTATTGCTGTGTGATAAGCTGCCCCCAAACTTAAAGACTTATACAATCTTTTATCCTTAGAATAAAGCACAAGTCTCTGGTTCAGGAATTAGGGCAGGGCACAATGGGGACAGTTCGTTTCTGTTCCATGATGTCTGGGACCTGAAAAGCTTGATGTTGGATAGAGATCTCTTCCTCTCTCTTTCTGTCTCCCCCCCACACACACCCCCTCTTTCTCTTCCCTCCTTT